CTGCGGGCTCCGCTGAGGTGAGGACCTGGCTTCAGCTGAGCTGTACTCAGCTCCTGAGGCCGGGCCGGGACGGAAGGGGCCGCCGGCCAGGCCACTGAAGCATCCTGGCCTCTTCAGGAAATCACGGGGCGCAGCGTCCGGCTACCTCACAGGCGGCCTGGACGAAAATCACTGCACGTGGAGAGCGAGCGACACTACCCAACCCTCATCGGATGTTGCTTGGCGCTTTGCTGCACGTCAGCCTCGTCCCCAAAGTTTCTCCACGTTTTGTGCTTACTTTGCCCCGTGGGTCTATCTTTTTCCTTGATTTTCATGACGAAAACATGTTGGTTATGATTTCCAGGTACTTTTGAAAGAGATTGGGGAGCCTCGCCGTGGAGAGCTGCACCTCTGGATCGACAGCACAGAAGTGGTTGTGGGTTTGGATTCGCTTTACTGCGGGCTTGACCTGTGAAGAGCGGCTGTGTTGGGCAGAGTAGGGGAAGATCTGAGGGCCAGAGAGTTGCCGGACCCTGGCGTGTGCAGGTTCTGTGCAGACCCCAGAATTTCTCAGTGTCTTTGGAGCGGGGTGAGGCCCTAGGGTTAGGGAGAACTCCGGGCTTGGGGTGAAACGTTGAAGTATTTCAGTGAGGTCAACCAGCTGGTTGATGCCTTGAAGCTAAGCTAGGTTTAGCTGGCCAGTAGCCCCCACTTTCTCCTGGGCCATTTTGCCTTTTTAAATTTATTTTTGCGGTACTGGGTTTTGAACTCAGGGCCTTTGCACTGAGCTATATTCCGACCCTTTTACATTTTGAGACAGGTCTTGCTTAGTTGCCCAAGTTGGTGATCTTCCTGCTTCAGTTTCCCAGGGTGCTAGGATTACAGGCAGGTGTCACTGTGCTGTGCCAGGCTTTTGCTGTTCTGTTTTGCTTTATTTTTTGGTACCAGGATTTAAACTCGGGAGCTTGCGCTTTTGAGGCAGGTGGTGGCACCACTGAGCTAAATCTGTGGCTTTTTCTTTTTTTTTAATTTAATTTAAAGCTAAATAACTTGTCTTCTAAGCCCACATTTTCTGTATATAATGGTGCTGTTTTACACAGTGCATTCACAGGAACCATTTAATGCGTTTTTAAATCAATTATTTAGAAAGAGAATGTCACGAGAGGTGGTACACACCTGTAATCCTAGCAGTGGGGAGGCTGAGGCAGGGGCATCACCAAGAGTTCTACACTAGCCTGGACTATATAGTGAATTCAAAGCCAGCCTAAACTCCATAGCAAGATCCTGTCTCAAAAAAACCGAAAACAAGGAAAGAAAGAAAAAACGCATTGCTCATTTTGTGCTAGGTGCCATTCTAAGTATTTAACAATTATTAATTCATATAATCTTAATAACTATGAGATAAGTACAATTACTCCCACTTTACAGATGTAGGAACTGAGGCAGAGAGATTAAGCAATTTACCCAAGGGCACACAGCTGGTAAGTTGTTAAAAGCTCCAACTCAGCCTGGTTCCAAAGTCCAAGCTCTTAATGTTTTCATTGCTACTTTACATATGGAGCATCCCGGATTCAAAGAAGTTCGGTGACCTGGCCAGTATCGTAGAGCTCTAAGTGGAAGACAGAAGCAAGGAATATGTTGATGAAGTGACCTTGTACGCTGTCGTGATAAATACTGCCATTGATTATAACTTGTATTGGATTGAGCACCTGTGTTCTCTTCCTTGCTCAGGGCTCAGGTGTGAGAGGATCAGGCACTGTTTGTTTAGGTATTTCCTGTATGGCAGGAGAGGCTTGGTGATTTTCTCTCTGGCTCTGTCAGAAGTTGCTACCTCCTGTTTCCCCAGCGTCCGTGCCCACCTTGAACTAACGGGGCCATCGCTGTCGTTCTCTATCCCTGGGAGGCTCTGTGTAGCCAGCACAGAGGAGCAGAAGTCTGCTTGCTGGTGTGTCTGCCCTGAGAAGGAGCATGAAAGCATTACTTTACATCATTCCAGTTTCTCTTTTACTTGACCCATTCTTCAACTCCCTTGACTTTACACCTTCCCTTCAGCCTCTAGCCCTTGGTCCCCTCCCATTTGAGAAAGGTCTGTATCCCTGCTTCCTATTATTTTCTTTATTTCTGGGATTGGAGGCATGCCCCTTCATGCCTAGCTATCAAAGGATGTTTTAATAGTAAAAATGTTTATAATATATCAAGCAACTAGAACAAGATGCAAAATTACATATATAATTGCAATTTATAGAGGTAGATACAGGATAAACAGAATAGAAAGAAGATGGAAAGGACTATGAACTGGGTGTGGTAAAGTGGTAGGATTGTATTTTCTTCAAATTCTATTTTTAAAAGTCGCTATATAAAT